GAAGCTAAAATTTATCATCCACAGCTACAACTAGTAGCAGGAGATCCTGAACCGAAGCATGCAGGTTTTGTATGGGAACTCAGCCAAAAACCTTCTGCACTGCCAACATAAACCAGCGTCAGCAGCAGAAGTACAGCTGCCACTGACTGACGGATAGCAAACGTCACACGGAGTTAAGATGTCCCAGTTGACTTTCATCCCTGCCACTCAGGTAGAAGTCTGTTCTAAAGACAGTCGATGGACTTGCTTTCTTGGCAGGGGGTGGTCTTGAAGTGTGCTGCTTTCACAGAGCTGTGACAGTCAGAGAAACCCTCGGTTGAGGAGCAGCTCTCGGGAACTGTTCGCATTCTCATACAACCATTTCTTTTTCTGTGTAGAAAAGATGATGAATATGATGAAGATGATGAATAATTTTGCGAGATGCTGTTTCTCACTGTAGACTTCAGGCAGATTTTCAGCAGATGTTGATTTCCAAAGGCTGTTTGACAAGTCACATAAAAAACAGCCATACCTTGATTCATGGATCCTGCAGGACAGGCACTCACTTCATAAACAGCTCCGAAGCACCCAGTATGATTGGTGATTAGTTAACAATATCAAGTAATGCTGGTCAATAGAGTTTAATACGATCATATATTTTCTTTTCAACATTAAGCATTGAGCAGCTTATACAGATGCTTTGTCTCTTTAATCTTGTCATCTCTCTGAATATTTAGAAATCTGCAGATTTTTAGCACAAAGATGCTTTTATTAAATCTAAACCTCATAAAAATCTGCATAAAACTTTCAGTGTTAAAGTAGATCAATTTCAGCACATTTTGAATCACATCATTTTCTAAAAATAAAGCATATTAAGAAAATTCAGAAGCAGCCAAAACATCTGATTGCCAAAGACTCACTAAAACAAATAATACTGCAGGCCTTTCATGGCATTTAAACCAACAAGAAGTCTCTAAAGCTGCTGTATTCTTCCTGTTTGACTTGATCTCATCAAAAATAGTTACTCTTAGCAAATTCAGATAATGATTTAAAGATTTTTCCTGTCTCCTCTGCACCGCTGCTATGCCAATGAATCCCACAGACCTTGACTGCCCAGCAGGACTGCCACATGCTGTGAATTAGCCATAAATCCACTTACTGAATGGAAACGCAACAAAGCGTTTATCTACTATTAGTACACAGAACTCAGCAGCAACAGATTTCTCAAACCCCCAGTTTTTAGAAAAGCTTTCAAGGAAAAGGTTTTTTTGAAACCTTTTTCTTCCAAAGTTCCCCCACTGAACCAAAAAGACATCTTCAGGAATAACTGCACCCAAAAATAAGTTACTATATTCAACTCCAAAAAAGATTTTAGTTCTTCTGCATTATGTCTCTTTATTCACCAAACACAACAAAACACAAATTGTCATTACTGTACAGGTCAAGTATATGGCATAAGGTGATACATAACAAATAGCATTGAAATTGAGGTACTGAAAATCCAGAGCTTCAGTAAACAAGTCCATTATTTGCAAGTTGTCAGGAAGAAACCCTGCTTCCAAGTACGTAACAGAACAGATGAGATGTGTCTGGCTTTGGTATAGCTGGAGAACGAGATGTGGGAGGAAGGATGGATTACAGCACGTGCAGACTACCTTGCCCTGTATGACAGGGTCATTCTTGACAGTTTCTCCTTTTCTTAATGTGGTTAAAACAAACAAAAGAATTTCTGCCACTTACGAAGCAGCCTTAAGAGGAAGAGATTGTTTCCCTTCTCACTATCCGCTCTGAGATTCAAAAGGATCGCTTGTCAGTAACAGCAGTGTAAGGAGAATGGACAGTTATGGTACCTTGAGGTCTACCTTCCCAGCTTGGCCAGTTATTTGCCAAAACCCAGACACATTGCCAACGCAGTCTTTCCAGAAACACACACGCCTGAGAGCTCGCTTCCCTGCATTCAGGTCAGCAGGCACTAACTTCACGTCTGCATTCCACATCAGCCTTCTTCCCCTAAATCAAAAAGTATCAGAAGACATTCCATGTCACAATGCACAGCAACTTCATTTCTCATGGATAGACCAGATGCATGCCCCCATAAGGAGACCTTCAAAAATTTAAGATTCTTGGCTTAGTCAGGAAAGAGTAAAACAGACTCAACCACACACAGCTGCTTCCAACTTCCAATTAAACACCTTTGCTGTTCCAGAATTTTCACTTAAGAAAAAGTCACTCTCATCTGCCCTTCACAACTTCCTAACTTTGTTCCCAGAAATTCTTTGTTGTTGTAGTGATTTCTTAAGATATCCAGACTTGCCAAAACTCACCTCAAGGTCCACTTCCTCAAAGCATTACAGGAATCCTTCAGGATTCCAAATACCACTTCACACCCAAAGGTTGAGGAGGAGCGGGGGCAGAAACACTTCCCTCCACCAACCAAAGTGCGTTCCCCAAACTTCTCAATAAGGACCAAACAGAGCATGGCAGCCAGGCTGGCTCCTTCCCAGCAGGAAGTTTTTTCATCATCATTTCAGTTTCAGCAGTTCCAGAGACTTTAGTAATCTCCTATTAAACTGGCATATAACAGAAGCGTGCGACTAGCTGGAATCTCAACATGCTTTCCAGCAATACTTTCACATTGAAAAATCGGTACCATAAAAGCCTTTGTGTTGTTCACACAATGATATCGCCAAGAAAAAGCCAATACAAAAATTTGTGCAGTACTGTACACCTTTCATTCCCATTCTGGTGAACCTGGGAGTACTAGGCCTGTCCCTGAGGCTCTCCTGTTCTCCTCCAGCTCCTTATTCCAGCAGAAGATTGATCACACCTGCTTCAGTTTATTTGTTCTTGGTTCCTGTCTTGAATTCTCCCCATCGCTCTTTCTGAACAGCCACTCCACGCTTTACTAATCAATCTGTCATTTATTCACAGTATACAGTGTTTGAAGTAAATGGTAGAAAACGTATTCCACATTCCTCACCAGTTGCTGCCTTGGCTTGTCAAGTGCACACATTCATTATTTCTTTTTAGTTCTTTTTCTTCAGACCTCCTTAGTTTGTCACCGCAAGAAGTAACCTTTCACTTGGAGAAAACAACAGAATTTGGGCAGTGCATTCTCAAGTCATCGCTGATTTCAACACAGGGAGCTTCATCCGACCCTCATACTCTGGATACCTTCAGAATTGAGTTGACATTTAAAGGAAACAGAGTTTGAAATGGATACAGTAACATTCTCCCTAACAGAGTTTCTTTAACTGAGCGAATCAGCTGAGAAACATTTGGAGCACCTAGCCTTCCATGAGCTCCTCACTGCTTCACATGGCTTACTTACAACAAAGACATCTGGAAAAAAACAAGAGACTAAGGATAGTTTCTCCTGAAAACATTATAACAAAATCTTTGCGTAGCAGAGAAGAAAAAAATAATGTTCCTGCACAACTTTTGCCTTCCAGCATTTTTTGCAGCGTACTGGGTACTAACAGAGAGTACCTACAGTGAAATAAATTCACCGTCCCTGTGATTCAATAGCTGCACATTACACACTGACATTTTGCTTATGTGAGATGTAACAGCAATCACAACATAAATCCACACCTTGTCACATTCAGCAGCCCATGTAATATGAGATCCAGCAGTTTTATAAGTCACACCTGAGAGTTGTCAGAATAAAAACACGGTTTAGCCTAGGAAGGATAAAAAGTCTCCCACTTAAGCTAATGGACAGAGTGCACATTCCCACGTGCCACAGACCTAAACAAACTTTGAAGTCATGCAATCTCTAGATTTTTTTTACACAGCCCTCGTTTTATGGATAAACAAGATTCCTGATGTTATGAAGATAGCAAAGATCTAGCATAAAAGGGCAAAGACCTATGGATACTGCTGTAATAGAACCATGTTGGAATTTCAAAGCTAAGCAACTTTTGACGTGTATTTTTATTTCTGAAGTCACTAGAAATGCTTTTAGAAGGAAAAAAAGAAAAAAAAGACTGCAACTTTCCCATTTTATTAAAAACAGATTATAAGTTTCAGACCTCATCTCACATGGAGTGTTATTATGAAGGCTACGGCCACCTATAGTCACAAGGCCACTCTGCGTTCTTGTTCACACCAGCCAGTATTAGCCCTCAACAGTTACAAAAGGGTCAGCAATCTATTCCTGCATCAGCAGCAGTAAGAAGACTGCAACAGAGAATATGTTATATTTCATAGTTAGAGCCCAAGAGACAGCCCAGATAAAACACAGAAAGAAAACAGGAGGGGGAAACCAGACCAGGAAGTCCCTCTTCTCATACACATGTGAATGAAGGAGAACTAGAAAACAGAATGTAACAGAATTAAATTCTTACCAGAATCCAGACCTCAAATATTTTACCTATGTTAGCAAGTTCAGTTCACATCTCTAGACAGCTTTCACTGCAAGTATTTTGACAACCCTACTGGCCATCATGATAACACTGCACACACTAAGAGAAGAGGAGTTCATCCAGGCCAGGCTGATGCTCCTCAGCCCAAGGAAGGAGATTGGATCATGAGTAAGAAATGTTGTTTTCAACAGAGGCTTCAAATTCAATCCCGTCTTGTCTCTAGATTTTCAGTAGCCACCACAACTCATGCACTTCCCCACTGCTTTTCAGCAGCCTACAAGAACAACACTATTTTGCCCAGATTCCCCACACCATTAAGGTTCCTAAGTTCATTAAGACAAAGTTAATTAGGCATGGCTGATTATCCAGAAAGTAAATGCAGAGGCAAAGAATTGCTGCTTCACATACCTAAGGGTACCAATGTTCTGTCTGTGCCTACAGGTATTTAAGGAATCAGTGGAAACCAGTGTTGTTTTGAGGTTTCTTTAGCTGTTTTACCCCACCCACCCCAGTGTAGCACACCTGACCCCAATTAAGGCTGCCACTGTAACTAACCAAGATTCTGAGTCTTCTGCTCTTAAAAGTAACTGAGAAAACAGAAAAGGCTGAGTCAACAAAATAATTTATTAAATAAGATTCTCCCATTTTACTTACCATCACTTTCATTCTTGCTTCTCATTTCTTCCATCCACGTTGGAATATCTTTCAGTGCAACGTATCCCCTTAAGTACTCTTTGCGTCTTTCTTCCAAGGTCATCTTCAGCAAACGTTCTGTTTGGGGGATAAAAAGATGAATAAAAGTTCTGCAAGCTTTCATATGTTCTTGTACATTGGCCAAGTAGTGACCAATTCAGTGTCCTTGAGGCAACCAAACACTGTTTGAAAGAAACAAGCATGGGTGATTTGATGAGTTACGAATAATAGAAGCTGAACACAGTGTATTTAGAACCACTGCCTGCACCTATTTCTGGATATCCCAGTTCAGCAAAAAAAAGAAATGCCTCTTCACTGCTCTCTCAGCTGTACACATTTCCTTTCCCCATCTTCCAGCCGCTTAAACTCAGCATCAGAGATTTAACAGCAGGTTCATTAAGTAGGGAATTGTTATTTTATAGAGTTTCCAGGTATCAGAATATATTCTTCACGTTCCGTATTCACAAACCAGATTTTAAAAACAAGCAGAGCCACCACTCTGGAACATCAAAATTGATGTGTTTTTACTGAAACAACTTTCACGTACTCCAGCGAAGAAAGAGGCGAAAATGGTACAAAATTAGCAGTGTCAATATGCTACAAAAATAGAAATCAGCAAAAGCAAATCTTACATCACTTCCTACGTGGCTGCGGTGATAAGAAAGGTATTTCTGTTTGGTTGTTTTGTTCTGCAAACAATATAACTCCCAGCATCAGAGAAATCTGCAGTCATTTGCTTTAAACACATCCACTAGTGTGTAATCACATTCTGGGCCAAAATCAGCAGCTCCAGAAACATAAAATACAACAGGCTACCTGTTGGTCACCCAGGGATGAGCAAAAGAAACCCCTAAGCTGGAGAACACACCAATTGCTAGGAAAGCCCACTGCTCTCTATTGGCTAAACAGGTTTCTAAAGGCAGCCAGGATCAGCATGATCTGAATCTGTTGGACTGGAAGCACTGTGAAATAGAACCTGGGTTTGAAATGAGCAGCCTGGCTTAAGACTAAGAGTTTTGTACTTGAGCATTAGAATGACGCACTTAGTTACTGTACTGAAGTGCACAGGAGAGGTTTTCTTCTGAGAAATGGTCACAGTGCTTTTTTCTAGACACTTAGTATAAATAAAGCCTCACAGGTTGTACATTTAGGACAGATGCTGCCAGCTTCACTCTCCTTCAGCAGTGGCTGTAAGCGCACTAAAGCGAGAAAAGCAGCCCAGTAACCTGGGCTGGACACCAGGTTCTTGCAGATCTATCCCCTTCTTCTCACCCCACCAAGCAGGATGGGCTCTCTCAGTAGTGAGATACAATTCTAATGCTCACTGCTAGCTTTGTTCAAGATGCACCCATCTGTATGAAGGGGGGAAGAAATGTAAAGCACGTCAGGACTCCCATTCGCTAACCAAGCTCCTGGCTACGTCCTACCAATAACACTGAGCTACCATCACCACACTAACACCTTCCCTTGGCCTGTTAGTCACTACTAAGTGCTCTTTGATGACTGAAGAGGTTTTAGAGACATATGGATCTTACCTTTCCCTATCACAAACTGACACAGAGATGGTATTTTCTTATCAAGTTGAAGGAGCAGGGAAGGGGTTGAACAGAAACTGCCTTTCAGGCCAAAGCTCTCAAGAAAAATCACTTGTACTATACTAGCGTTCCCCCCCCCCCATCAAAATAACTTTCCTAATTTCACACAGTGTAATCAGTACAGCCTAAAATACCAGGGGCAGGCTTTGAACACAGGCTTCCTTATCAGAACAAATGTATTTTGATGTTTTGACAGTACGACTTCTCCTTCAGTCAACAAAAATATTTCTATCGCATTATTCTGGCTTGGTATCTTAATTGGATGCTTACAAGTACAAAAGTACAACTAATGTGATTAGAATCACCATTTTGCTTTGCAAACGCACACTTAGCTTTCCTGCTTGATCTTCAAGCGCCCCAAGTGTTGTGTGTTTGTTAGAGGTACTACAGAAAGGCAAACCTGACTGTGAGAGGAACACAAGAGTGTGTTTGCATGTGTCAAACCATTGGATCAAGTAGCACAGAACGTCTGGCTGTCTTTTGCTGAAGATGCCACAGAGCCGTTTCCCTACTCTTAAAACAGCAAGTTTTCCCTCTGTAGGAAGGGTGCATAGGGCTTCACTCTTGCAAGTTGCCAGAGAGAATTTCAGCTGCACACAGACCCCCCGTAAGAAGCTTCCAGCACCTTTAGTTGCAAGTGCTGTTATCCACATTGCCTGCTGACCTGCTTGAGAAGCTCACAAGCAGACCAGTCCCGTGCTGCAAGACTGACATCAACACCAATGCTGCTCCTGCTGCTTCAATGAACTCCAAACAAGATGCAGCTTGGGAGAAAGTGAATCAATTCTCAGTTACCAAGAAAGTAATCAAGGAAAGCCAGGTAGCTATCAGTGGGTTTCAAGCCAGTATTTAGTAGTCTGTTTTTTGTTGTTTTCTTTATTTTTATTTTTTGAAAGAACGAAGCCTTACAGAATATAAAAGGCTGAGAATGATCCACCACCAAGTCTGCATGGGAGAAGCAGAACCAGGAGCCCCATCAGCACTTTGGGAGCCAGGAGCACACAGGAATGGCAGAGATAGGCCTAGCAGAATGCTTGCTTTCACAGACAGCCTGGCAAGGAAAGAAAGAAGTTGGGATGCTGTAGTTTCGCTCCCCAGCCAAGAGAACGCTCTACAGGAACAGCCATGCTCAGCTGCAAGCTAGAGAGCAGCAGCAACAACACAGCAGCACTTTCCCCTTTCCTCGTGTGAAGGGCCCAGGGCCAAACCCACGAATACAATGCCAAGGAGCAGTTACTGGAGCAGAAGACCGGGAAGTGCTGTTCAGCCTCACTGTGTGAGGAGACACCGAGTCCCAGTGCTCACACACACGCCTCACTGGGCAGAGCACCCTCAGCAGCAGCTGAGCTGCAGCAAGCGCTCAGCAACATCTTCATGCCACACAGACCATAGTATCGCTGTGCTGGTGGGTTTAACCATCTCTCTTCTGTTCTGGAAAAGGAAAATTTCAAAGCCAAGTAGAAATTGGATGTCTGGAAGGAATGCTGCTTCTAGGACAGCTTGACAAAATGACAGGCAATGCAACTCCCTGCCCTGGGGATGGGTGTGAATGGAGCAGCCAACTTGCACAGCAATGAACTTATGTGCATCTTGCATCTTCCTCTTCACCGATACCCACTGGATTGCTCCCGGCAGCATGCACGCTGTCTTACGAGGGGCCGCCTGCCTTCCAGACTTGCAATACACACTCAGCAGCGTGATGAGAGGAGAACTCACAACAGGACCTGCGAGCGTGCTTTAGTTTTCTTCTGTCTCCGGTAGGTTCCCGGGCGCGGGGCTCCCACCAGCCCCCGGCAATATCCCGCCTGGCCGCCGCGCTTTCTTCGTCGGTATTTACATTGCTTTCAGAGGGTCGATAGGCGGACGCCCACAAGCCAAGGTCAGCGCACAGCGCCCGTCCCACACCTCCAGCGGACGGCCAGCTCTGGAGCTGGATGTTGGGCTCAAAGAGACCCGGAGGGAAGGGAGGGCAAGATAGACGAGCCCTTCAAGAAGGAAGGACGATTTCTCACCGGTGCTTTACCCGCGCAGTAACCCAAATAACACACGCACACACATGCACAGCGCGCGCAGATGAGCGCGGGACAGGAGCGCCCGGCGCCCGCCCTCAGCAGCTCCCGGCCGCGAGGCGCCCGCAGTGCCCGGCGTCAGCCCGCGCCGCGCGGCCCCAGCGGCGGAGAGAAGGAGCGGCGGGAACGGGCTCGCACGGCCCCCCCAGCGCAGCCCGCCCGCCCGCCCGCAGCAGGCGGCCACAGCGCCGGAGAGAGCGCAGGCCGCGGCGGGAGCCCGTCCCGGGATGGGGCGGCCCCGCGAGAGGAGGGCGGCGGCGGCGGCAGTACCTTTCTCCTCCCGCCAGAGCTTTTTCCGCTTGTTGCCGGGGTACATGGTGCTGTGGCTGGCGGCGGCTTTCGGCTGCAGGTTCCCCAGGCTCACGGGGGTGTAGAGGACGCCGAGCCTCAGCGACAGCAGCCGCCGCACGCGCGCGCTGCTCGCCAGCTCCGCGCCCGCCCGCCGCCCGGCTCCGCGCGGCGCCCGTCGGCTGGGTCACGCCTCGCTCTAACCCGACACCCCCGCAGCGCCCGCCCCCCTCCCCGCCGCCCGTTGGCTCCGGCGGCCGCCGCTCAGCAGCCCCCTCCTCCGCCCGCCGCCGCCGGCCCGGGCGCGGCGAGGCCGGGAGGGGCCCGGAGACGGCGGAGGGGCGGGAAGAGGCACTGGGACCGGGATTGGGACGGAGGGGTCCCGAGCGCGGCGAGCGCTCGGGTAGGACGGCGGCGGCCCCGGGGAGGGCGCTGGGGCCCGTCACGGCACGGCCGACCCCGGGGCGGAGCGGCGCCCGCTCTGCTTCCGGGTTGCGGAGCGGCACCGAGCGCTCCGCTCCTCCGGCGGGCGGGCCGCGTTGCTACGCGACGGCGTCGCGATCCCGATTGAGGGGGGCGGCGAGACCGCGGCCTGCGGGACCCGGCACGGCACGGCACGGCCAAGACTTCGGGGAGAGCCGGCCGGGCTGCCGGGGCGGGGCGGAGCTGCGCGTAGCCGCCTGCCGAGCCTCGCCTTGGGCACGTTCAGCCCCTGGCAGCTACCCGCCTTGTCCCGAGTGAAGTCCGGTTGGGCCGCGTGGAAGAGATATCCCGGGTCCGGAGCTCCTTGTGTTCGGCCTGTGACTCTGGCTCTGTCAGAGAGCTCTGTCCAGAGCTGCACGGAGAAAAACCGTGCCATTTCTGGGCAGATTTTTTCCCTATCCCAGCACTTTTTTTTTTTTTTTTTTTTCAGTGTAAACATAAATGCATGAAACTTTCAATGAGCACAGTAGCAAAAACCATCACGGTAAAAATAATAATAATCAAGTGATCAGACGGCAATAAATGATGCTGTGGAAGAGTATGAAAGCGTGGTGAGGTACTGCAGGACAATGTGTTACACACGATGCACAGAACTGCCTCAGCTTAGAAGTGAAAGGGGCAGCATCACCCACGGCACAGAGAGCCCGGAGATGTGCTCTTGGGAATCGCAGCTCAATGGATTTGTGCAGGTAGCAGGTCTCAGTGTTAAGGCAAAACATGAGCAATGAGTGGGTTATCCTGTAAAAGTTTTGCATCTGGCAGAGGAAAAGTCTGGTCCTTTTCTCAGTGTTGCGGGGCGCTGTGTATCAGGCTGTGTCAGGAGGGAGCTCGTTGGTCTTCTGGTGAAATAAAGCCGCTCCTGACAGAGGGAGAGACTCTGTGACAACGCTGTGAAACAAACACAACAGCGAAAAGTGCCTCTTTTTCCTGTGCACAGGAATGCCCGCCTTTGTACCAAGTCCTGGTTTCTGAGGAGCAAACACAGCATCTGTGCTCTTGTTCTGCAGTCATGGTGCAATTCCTGACAGCAAAATCCATAGTCTCACCACACCCACTGGTGGAACAGAATACTCAGAGCTGTCCTTCTCACCAGCTCAAGTTAGAATAAAACTCCTCTTTACAAAGCACGTTTTAATGTTCAGATTAGGTCGGCTCTCAAGGGTACACTGCTATCCTCTGTGATTACTCAATGTCTTTGTTTTGGCCAGCTGATATTCTCTGGTAGCCCACACACAGTTTTCTCATCTTGGTAAAATGAGAAACCAGCTGATGAAGAGGAATCAAAGGGATCATAGCTGAAGTCACGTGTGTTTGTGTTTCTATGATGCAGAGCAGATACTTGAACCCATATCCTGCATCATTGCCACATTACCAAGCTACTGAATATTCTAGAGTCCTCTGGGATCTGTTCCACATTTTGTAAATCAATGTTTATTGGACCAGAAGGGAAGACAGAGAAAACTCTTTTCTCATCCGGGACATTTGCATGCATTCTTCATTTTCATTTGTAAAAACAGCTAAAACAGCCATCATTTTGGGAAATACAGAAAGTATGTACCTTTAAAAGGAAAAAAAGAAAAAAGAAAAAAGCCTCATGCACCAGCACCAAAACGGAAGATCAGATAAAAGGCAGGAGTAAAACTCTCTTCAACTTAAAACAGAAACATTAAAGTTTTTCAATTTGTGTAAGAAATACTTATTTTCATTTAGTTAAATGTATTTTATTTAGTTAAATGTATATGAGTGTTTACCTCAGTAGCTCTTGGTATAATTGGACCCACCGAAGCAAGAAGAAATCATGTCACCGCCTTTGGTGTGAGCATGATCAGCATTCACTTCTTATACTTGTTGATTCCAGAGGCCTTAAATCTTCCAACAATCACAAATCCTCCAGGTGGAGTGAAATCATCGGACAATTACCAGCTATCTCAGTCTGTGCTTTCCCTGCTGTTCCTGAAGGGAAGCAAAACGTTCAGCCTTGTAGATATGAAACATGAATAGCCCTTCCACTGCTGCCCACCAGCCTGCAATCCCCACATCCAGAGCTACAAAAATATATGGGAAATGGTCCGTTAGAAATGCTGTTTGGGGAATACACCTAATTTCTTTATGAAGATATTTTCCCCTGGTCGAGCACACGTTAACATTTGCCATGGGTGAATTTTAAAAAGACAAAGGCACAAATATATCAGGCTTTCTGTCTGACAAGTTTGTAGCTCTCAGTCAGCAGAGGGAAGAAAATATCCACATGACAGGAATAATAATCCTGCTCCCTGGATGCTGGCACCAGTCTAGCACACTGCAATGAAATCTAAGGAAAGTAGGGAACAAAACACAGGTTACGTCTTTTTCTTTCTTTAACACTGTAGCTGGCACAGAGGCATAGTATCACATGTACATAAATACAGTTTGTTTTCTTTCTCATAGAATTGTTGATGAGAGTTTTAGCCTGAAGTGTCAAGTTTGACCATTGTTTACAAGCAAGGAACATCTAACAGGTAGCATCGTCAAAGTGGGGTGATGCTTAGACAAGGTGCTAATTATATAACACACAATACAGTAATTAACTTCTGGCTCTGGGCGGACACTTAACTGTCCATGTTAGTGGGTAAGATTGTGCAAGGACAACACTAGATTTGCAGCAAAGATGAAGAGTGAGAATGAACAGAAATCACAAAATCATAGAACGGTTTGGGTTAGAAGGGGCCTCAAAACCCCCCAAGCCCAACCCCTGCCATGGGCTGGCTGCCCCCCACCAGCTCAGGCTGCCCAGAGCCCATCCAATCTCGCCTTGGCACCTCCAGGCATGGGGCACCACAGCTCTCTGGGCAGCAGTGCCAGGGCCTCACTGACCCCTGAGTAAAGAATTACCTCCTAACATCTAACCTAAATTTCTCCTCTTTTAATTTAAAGCCATTGCTCCTTGTCTTATCACTATCCAACCATGTAAAAATTCAGTCCCCCTCCTGTAAGGCAGCAATGAGGTCTCCCCAGAGCCTTCTCTTCTCCAGGCTGAACAAGCCCACCTCCCTCAGCCTTTCTTCAAAGGAGAGGTGCTGCAGCCTTCTCAGCATCTTTATGGCCCTCCTCTGGGCCCGCTCCAACACCTCCACATCCTTCTTGTTGCTGGGGACCCAGGCCTGGATGCAGCACTGCAGGTGAGACCTCACAAGGGCAGAAATTACAGGAGATGCTAAAGGAGGATGAAGGAAGTCCATACAAAATCCAACATCATGATGACCAGGAACATGAGAGCGCAATCGCTGGAATGAGAAGCATGGGAGTCAAAGAGGAATCTCTGAGAGAAGTGATCGGCAGTATTGAATGGGCTGGGAAAATTTAGCCAAAAAGCAGCATTTCAGTACTTGGATGAAAACCAGCGAGGCTAAAAAATAGATTATTTTCTGGAGAAAATTAGTGAGCTGTATACTATGTCAGCTTAAACAATACTCAGAAGGCTTCAGTGTGTTTCACTGAAACGCTGAGTGCAAAAAGCAAAATGTAGTGTGTTTCATCCCTGGCCTATGGAACGCACCGGTGACATTCTGTAGAAGATGACAGGAAAACAGGGAAATGCCCACAAAGTATTGTTTAAAAGATGCATGGCCTGGACAGAAGACAGACTTCTACTGTGACTGTAAAATGAACGCTTGCTTGACATATGGATAAAGCAGTGACTGGCTAGAGAGTTCCTGTGAGATACATAATAGGAAATGTAAACTAATAAGAGAATGAATAATACACTGTATCAGTGAATAAATGTACCAAAGAAGAGCTGGAACTTCAGTGCACGCTGTTGGAACATTCACCACCTGCACACAGCATTAAAGTCACCATCAGCCATCCTGGCCAAAATAAGCAATTCGGAGCTGCTGCCCTGTAAAACAGTTTAAATTCTGCCTGTGAACTACACAATGACTTGTACAGTCAGTATGCTGATTTCAAAGACTGTGTAATGTGGGTGATGTGGATTAGATTCTGAACCTCATTATACGATTTCAATTCCTTGATAACATTATTTAGAATGTGAGATTAAATTGAGATTATTTCCTCTGGTTCTAACCATTTTAACAAATGAAACACAACTTTTCGCATTTGGAAATGTATGATTTGAGTAGCCAGTAAACAAAAGTAATTTACCATGCCAATAACATAATAGAGTAAGTATAAACATATAAAATGAGTTTATGAATATTTCATATTTAATTTGAAAAAATGTATCTCAGTAGTTATTATTTTCACTTCTCAGAGCTTGTTTGTGTAGTAAGCCCTGTTGGCTGAGTCTTGTTGATTTTTATTAAATCCTGTGCCAACACAAGTTCCACAGCAGGAAATTCTAATGCAGACGTACAGCCCATGTACATTAACCATGAAGTCTTTTCTCCTGTTCATTCACATCACATAGCAAAACCCTTCTGAGTTCCACAATATTCAACAAAATGTTGCCTTTCTATAAGCACGTTCACTTTCAGATATGCCACCATGCATTCAAAACATAAAATGCACATCACTCATCTTTTATTGGAGAGTTGTACCCCACCTTTTGAGCTTTCGAGCTACTAGCATACCTGGGTCAAGTTTCTGTTAATAAAACTACACCTCGTGACAGGTAGAGAGGGAGTGAACTGATGACAAGCATTTGATGAAGTGCTGCCTGTAATTTCCCTGCTTTGTTGCCTTGAGCAAATGAGCTAACAAGGAGGCAAGAAACTGCAGGCTCCTTTGTCCTGCGGGGTGATTGGAGAGAAAGATGAAAGGCGAAATATTCATGTTTCTCACAGCTTTCTGATTTTAATACATTTTGCAGAGGAAAACTCTGCAGCAGCGGAGGTGACCTGCTGTTGCTGTTGCTACTGCTGAAACACACCACCCACCCCTCACTGTGCTCACATCCACTGTTTGCACTCCATCAACATTCAATAAGTGTCATTCTTTCCACATGGAGGACTTCAGCGTCACACCTTTGCTCCATATGCACTTCCATGTCTGCTGCCATCTGTAACACGGCCACCAACATCGGCCTCTGATGTTGTGGGCCAACCTCATAAAATAGGAGGCAATACTTTCAGAGCAGCCCTCATATTAATGTTTACAAAAATCATACCCTATGATAAAAGTTAATGTATGCAAAGACAACAGAGAAGGAGCTTTTTGGAGTTTTTGATATGAACTTTGTGGTGGAGGTGCTTGCATGAGCATTTCCAGGTCTCTACTCACGACTGCCAGAAACAGAACTACTTGGTCTGAATAATTCTGTATCAGAAAGAAATGAGATGTATTTCAGAAAATACGCAATGAAAACTTTCAGGCAGGAAATCGCTTTTCAGTACGCCCCTTGAAAATGTGGAATTCCTGATCAGCCTACAATGCACTCAGTGAAAAATGGAAATTGAAAACATAAATAGATTGCAACAGTCAAAGTGACCTCAATACAGAAAAAGAAAAAGCAGAGCTTACCCATGAGCTCCAAGGAAAAGTACATGAAAGTAATGCGGTTATCTTCAATACTGACGTAATGCGTGACCATTGCGACCTTGGCCACCGCTGGAGGTGCACCACCATCTTACAGTCAAGACAGCTGCATCATCCAATGGCTTCGGAAGGACAGAAAATAAATAATGCAATCAGATCTAGCAGAAGAAAGCAAGGTATTCATCTGCAGTACTAGTTGTTAAAGCATGGGTCACGTGGAGTAACCATAAGAAGAGGTAAAAGGATGCATTTCGCTGTGTTGAATCTTCCATTGATGTTGCACACATCTACATCTGTGCTCAATCTGCTCTGACTGCAAGGGGAAATAAATGGGTGACTCACGACAACAGGCTATGCCAAATCACCAGTATCCAGCTGAGCAACTGGGACTAGTAGGGCTGCAAATTAATTGGTTTCTAAAAACAATAAAAGATGGAAGTACTTTCAAAAGACATCTAACATGGTTGCTGTATAGAATTAGGCTGAAATGATATTATTAAAGAAAGCTTTCAAGTGTCAAAAATAAAAGAAGGTCACATATTCTCCACTGAGGAATTCTGGATCTCACCAGAGGGAACATCCACGTTCATTATTCTTCCATTTCATCTGGTTTTTCTTTTACAGCATCTTTGCAGACAGACAGGAAAAACAAAACAGAACAAAACTTAGAGATATGGTTGTGAGTTGAAAGAATGAGCACAGAGAGTAGATACATGATAAACGAATTGGAAAGGCAGGTCAAAATTTTAAAATTATATATAGAGCAAAGCTAATATGAAGTGACCTGAAACAGGAAATAACTACATTATTTTTTAAACTGCTTGCTTTTCCAATTCTTTCTTTATTCTCCCCCCAAACAATGCCATCTATTCAATGGTATCCTCACTGTTGTTTTCTTTTACTCTGTTATTTTAAATTAATCCATTCTGCACAGCTTTTGTAGATTGGAGGCAAACTTCTTGCCAAGGCACACTTCAGTTACAGAAGTGCAGGCGCTAATTAATATTAGTGAGATGGCGCTTGGCACACATATGGAGTTACAACTTGTACAGAACCAAGGAATCAGAGCCTCCCTGTGGCAGGAGGGCCCATGAGGGTTCTCTGATCCAAGTTCCTGCCAAAAACAGGATGGCACTGAGCTCACACTGGGGTGCTCGTGGCTTTTTCTAGTTGGGTACTTTGACAATTTGCTCTCAGCTAAATCGTTCTAAATTACTCATTTCCCATGAGAAAAAAAATATATGTGTATACATAACAGCTTTACCTTTGGTCAACTGTATATCGCAACCGTTTGTGTGTGCTGTTTCCATTTAATTGCTACATCACTTGCAAAAATGAGTTTGCAACTTGGGAGTACGAATTCCGTGGGATTACCCAGCCTGAATGCTGCTAATGAGAATGTCCTCCTCCTCAATTGCATTTTGTGCTTTCGTGGTACTGCCTATCATCTTACATGTCATTCACGCTATAGAATATGATATAGAAAGTGGAATATTTAGATCACAAATCCCAGAATTCTCCAGGGACGGGGCATCAACCACATCTCTGGGCAACCTGTCCCAGTGCCTAGCTGTACATTGATGCAAAAGCTCTTCACGCTGTGTATCCCGTTCCACGGATCCCCTACACAATCCTGACCAAGGTCCTGCTACTCTCTATCATAAATCCACAGCACTCGTATGCAAGAAGCATTGAAGCTGGTATATGGCCAAGACTCCCAGTCACCCACCAGTTGAAAAGGCAGACTTTCCACCAACTAATGCGTAACAGTCTTGGGCACTGATGACTGGCTGGAAAAACACTATTTAATTTATGGGTATTCAGGGAGGTGCTTACAGCTATGCACCTGAATTCTGCCTTTTGTTACAGGCTGGAAAATGAATTTAATCTTTTTCTCCTACAGTGATGCCTTCCTGGAAGTCATTTTAAGAAGAGGCCTGTACTGTGAATTTAATCTCTTGTACTTTAATAAGTATCCTACAGGGTTATTAAGGTGTTAGAATTATCTCTAAAGAAAAAGAATTACGTTATTAGTTAGCAATTTAAGAAAATTTGTCTTCCAAATACACTCTGTTGTTTGAATAGAAACAAAACAGTTTTAGAACAAAATGCACCCTTACTGTTAGCTTTATTTTTAGCAAACATTTTTTTGAAAACCACAGAGAAATAATGCTTCAAAACAAGGTAATGCATCTCACAGTGCAAGTTATCAGGACAGAGGTTTAGTGCCTCCATCACAGTCACAAACCCTGTCCCATCATTGTTACAACGTGGATGTGATCTATCTGCTGATAAATCTGTAAAGTTATCTTAAATACTTCATTGCTGCTCGTGTTTACTGACAGACTGCATCCACTCAGTTCTTGGATGGCAGAGCTCCATGCTCCATGCACTCACTGCGTAGAGGGACCTTTGGAGATGGGCAGTAAGAGCCTGCCTGGATAGGAGCTCTTACTGGAGCCTCCAGTAAGGAGGCTCAGGAGGCAGAAGGCAGGCTGTGGTGGTATCAGAACCTACCCAAAGCAATGCTGTGGAGGCCAGCAGGACCTCAACATGGTTTAATTGTCCCCTGAGTTGATGTTGGGTGGGAAGGAACAGGCCTCACTCACGTTGGTGTAGTGGAGCACAAGGTAAGGGTCAGGCAGTGAATGAATCATGGGTTTCCCAGAGAGGGGCATCCTTTGGCAAGCAGTGAGGTTTGTATTTGCCTGTAGGAATGCTTAAAGAGCTTGCCAGAGGGCAACTTTTCCAAGTGGAAAAAAGGCCACAGAAAGAAAGCAGTTGTGCCACAAACATGGCTCATCTTCTGTCCGTCAGCCTGGTAGCCAGGCACCCACACATAGGCAACCAGTGAATGCAGAGCATCTGAAAGGGGTAGAACAAGGGGGAAGCTCATGTTTGAGTCCCAACTCTTAAAAGCAGCGTTCACTCACACAGTGGTTGATAACTGCACTTTTGAACAAAATTTGAACAAAATTTCTAAAATTATGAGATAACAGTAGCATCATTATTTCAGTAAAATGTATCGCCATTACTGGGAAAAATTTGAACAGCAATAAGCAGCTGTTATTTAAAACAGCATATGTCAGTGTCTCATATCTTGCTGCTGATGAGGCAAGAAGCCGAAATGTACTTCCAAGAGTGATAAATCTGCCCAGGTTCCTAAACTAGTAACCAACTGGAAATGGAAATGCATCAAATGCAGCTAGAGTTGTGCCAGAATGCAGGACCGCAAGTGGTCATTCATTTCAGATCTGTTCATTTTTAGTATCCAAATCAATATCCCAAAGATGTGATTTGTGAAGATAATACTTACTAAATGTGCTCAGTTTCAAGTGTTAAGCTATCGCTGCGGTGTATGTAAAGAGTGCTCATCAAATATCTGCTTTCACATGTAATTATTCTAGCAGTGAGTTTTAGAAATATTGCCTCATTTTACACTTAAATCCAGTTGCATTTTAATGTTCTTTTAAATAGGAAGCCGTGTCTAAGAAGGTTCTTATCTATGAAGGGAATTACCATAGACTGTTCTCCATAAGCTTTTCATTTCTAACATCCGGCCAGAGATTTGTGTGGATTTTAGAGAGAACATATTTTGCTTTACATGTGGGGAAATAAACAAGATATTATGACCAGTTTAACATCAATCTGAAATCAAGTGTGTAGTAAACAGTTTAGTTCTTTGGAAGTCACTTAAGTGACATTTAGAAACAGTTTTTTCCTGGATAACAAATAGTGTAGTAAACAGAAATACCATGTTAATCCATTTCCTGTATGTATTCCTTCAATCTTAAAATCGAATAACAACATTACAATGAAAATATTGTTTGATCATGACAGATTTAAAAACATGAAAGAAACACCTAGAGCATACCTTCTCAGGCTTTAATAACCAAATGTTTCTTCTGACAAGGAAAGCCAGCTATTTAGACACCAAAAGAGGAGGTAAACTTGTAGTCCACGCCTTTGACTCAACTCCTAGCAAAACTCCGGTCTCCTCGCATTGCTCTAGTTGTACAAAATGGGGTAGAAATAGCCTCAGGGAAAAAACAGGAGTAATGAGGTTAAAGTAGAGCTGACAGAACGGCTCTGTATCACTCCCCCAACACTGAGCCATATATCTAGATGCAGCAGGTAAAGTTCACAATAAACAACTACAACATCAGCTGTAAGTTACTGTAGATGTATTATAATTTACTGTAGATATATTCTCATCCGGTTGTTTTATTATTATTATTATTATTATTATTAAACACAGATCCTAAGACATCAGAAGATATGAAGCGTAACGGTTAAGGTGTAAAAATTTCAGATTAATGGTGGGCTAAGAAATGTATGACCTTAGTAGTGTTTTGTGGTAAGTCTTCACAATTCCACCCACTCTTTAATAACAACACCTGCCTAAGCATAAAATAGTTTATATGTGAAATACAGAAGAACAACATATTTCTGCTTGCCTTGGCCAACTGATAGTGATATACATGCTAGATATACAATGGGATGAGGATAATTAATTGTGACATTGTCAAAAGGACACAACGCTTTTTCTGATAAACTCTTTACATCTTTCCAAAGGGTCACAATCAGTATTTCAGCTCTAGGCTGGTTTACTGCCTACAGCAAATTTGATTTTTGTAGAGTTACACAAGCTATGGAATAGGTGATCTAGAATGATTACGTGTTTAAAATGTGAAGAGTGTTCCAGGGAAAAGAGAAAAGCTGCTGCACTTGAACTTAGTGCAAATAATAGCTTAACTGAATGCAAATGGTGTATGCTCTTAAGCAGGACTGCCAAGCTGGAAATAACAAATCATAGTAATAACACCAAGATAAGAGAATTTGATAAGAGATAATTTCAGAAACTAGATTTCAAGGCCAGCAGAAGACAAATCATGGACAGAAACAAAAACCCAGAAAACAGCAAACTCAGCAGTAGTTATCTTGTGAAAAATCAGTTTAAATCCCCACTTAAAAAAAAAAAAAAAAAAAGTTCTGATTTAGAAACACCAGTAAATCTTATTCTCAGGGCTTTTTTATGCTAATTCTCTATTGTTTCTCCCACATAAGCACAATAATGCCAATATCAAATTATTTTTGTTGGTACAACTGCCTTTACTTGATTATAGAATCACTAAGGTTGGAAAAGACTTCCAAGATCACCCAGTCCAACCCCAGCCCACTGTGCCCACTGCCCACATCCCTCAGTGCCACATCTGGGACTCCTGCAGGTGACGCCAGTGCTCCCTGGGCAGCTGTGTCAGTGCAGAATCACTTCTGGAGAAGGAATTGTTCCTAGCAGCCAACCCGAACCTCCCCTGGCACAACGTGAGGCCATCCCCTCTCGTCCTATGGCCGTTCCCTGCCAGCAGAGGCCGACCCCGCCTCACACAGCCTCCTTTCAGGGGGTTGTAGTGAGACTTTCAGAATTCTTTTCTTTCCTTCGAACCAGTAACAGCAGACCTTGCCAAAGCATTTGTTTATGGATGTAACTGCCAGCAAACTTTTACATACATATCATCCACACTCAAACAAGATGTGTCTCTACCTTTCTTTCTATGTTCAATTGCCCATCACCTTCTACATGCAGTTTCAAATGATGCTGTTCCAATGAAATACTGCAGCGATTCAGCAGTGATATTTTTATGATAGTAAAGTTCACATTAAAGCATCCAGTTTCTTTTCCTTGTACAGTAGCCAAATATAAGTGAACTGCATAAAACTGTCAAAGCTGGTCTGATGCAAGAGTCCAGTTATGTTTTCCCAGTATATTCCTGCATCTGAGTAAGAGTGGAGAGAAGCCTTTATTCCCAAGGGTAATCGCTGCACGTAAAGAGCCAGCTGCCTTTCGTGATGGTTGAATACCACCTACAGTTATAAGTGCCGTTTCAAAAGGGATGTCAGATTCCAATTGTAAAAGTAATATCTTGAAAAGGAAAACTAAGATGGGATAAAGAACTACTTGAATTCAAGATGAGCTCCGGAGTCAGATGAAGTGATAATGAGAAATGAAATTAGATTTTTTCAAAAAAAATTACAAGACTTCCCCTTTCTATAAAAGGTGTTTATAAAGAGACCGCTTCCAAAAGGAAAAGCAAATCAAGAACAGCTCCAAATGGGAAGCGATAATGAGGGGCATTAACAAGATTTATATCAGTAGCCAGAGACAGTATTGTTTTTAAATAAGGAAAAACAGCAAACCTTTCAGAAATCACAAATATTTCAGTACTACTCTGAAACGTGAGGAAGAAGCATTGGAGAAGAACAATGTTTGAGTTGATTGGCTTAAGAACTGCCTCTGCAGGCTGAAAAGGAGGCAAGGTTTAATCTTATCGGTCAAATTCCAGCAACAATAAACCAAGGCATGTAGCCACCCTCACGAGATCCACATATAGCCGCGGGCTGTCAGCAGAGGCTATGCTGACATACAGTGAATGAAGCCTGACACGACCTTTCAGATGTGGGGAAGTTGGGTCAGACCAATACAGAATGCAATCTGACAGACATTTAGAAAGAATGTTTAAGTGATTGTGATGCCCGTGGCGCTTGCACTAAATGAAATAAAGGTTTGAGAGAATTTCTGTGGGCTTTCGTGTGCTTTGATCGAGAATGTAAGACTGTTAAGGATACCTAATGAAGGATTCCTCCAAAACATTACCATAAAATGGAACTACCATCCTTAAGAAAACAGCTTTCAGGCCACAGCTGTCACCCTTGCAAGGACTGATCTAACTTGATGGAAATAGACTAGACTGCAGTTATTATGTCCACAAAAAACTCCCTGCCTAATTTTAATTCACAGCCACGTGGTGACTCAAGTAACACCTCTCCAGCTTTAGGTCAGGACTTTAGACAGTACTGAGAAGTCGATGCTGTTTGAAGGAGAAGAAAACAGCTGATAACAACAGTGATCTTCACCATTAATATGCTATTTTGACACATTGTTTGGTAAAATTAATAATTGCCAAATGTATCCTGGTCCAAAACAAACTTTTGCTCGGAAGCGAGGATATTTTACGTCACGTGTTTAATCGAGCAGTCAGCAGCAAAATCCTCTCCATCTGCAAACATTAACCACAGTCTGCTGGGCTGGAAGCCTGGCTTGCTGCAAGCAAACAGGGTCACGAACCTCCACAGTGGCTCAGCTTCCCCAGGACACAGACGGACTGCTCCACTTGGGCTCTGAACTCAGGTAGAGAGGGAGCATTTCAAGACTCTACCAAGCAAAAAACACCCGCACTAGATGTATTTAAAGTTTGACGGATGTTAAATACGGAAAAGTTCTATCAGATTTACTTACTTGCGGAGAGCAGCTCATCGGTTCTGGGTCTGCAAATGATAGAAACGTGGTAGCTTGGACAAAACATTTGCGTGGTTTAAATATAAGCAAGTGTGCTACTCTGGAAAAGAGGAGGATCTTGGAGTGGGAACAGTTTCAGATGAAAAAAAACAACACAAATGCAAATTACTGATAGAAACAAATGGAAGATGTAAATGTTGACTATTCAACTGATCCTTCTTTTGCTTTTTGATTTCTGAGCAATCTGACAAATATTAAATAGCATGAAATGAGATTTCATAGGTGACGGCGGAGCTTTTATTCTTCTTATAAAGAAATCCCTGATGCTAATAAAACAGAATCTTTAAATACTTATTGGTCCATCTTCTGTCAAACAATGATAACGGGCCACTGTTCTTATTTATTGTAACTCAATAAATAAATGCAGTTTCTTGATGATCACACTATTTGCTGCTGCTGACTATAACCTCCTTTCATCTATGAAACCCAGCGTCCTTAAGTTCATACAACACATGAACACATTCATGCCATCTCAAAAGTAGATGTGTTTAATTCTCAGCTGCTTTATGGAATTTCCATCATAACATATATTGCAGATCTGGCTTAGTAGCTCATACAGCACCATAACACTATTCTATGTTCTATATAATAAGAGTAAAAGCAGAAAAACGAGTGACATCTCATTTAGATTATTATTGCTAATGGGAATGTTGTACAAGGTATAGAAATACATAGAAGGATATGCATGCATCAAAAATAAAAGAAATGGCACAGTTTCTTTTCCTCTTCACACACTGCATGAAAGTCAAACACTGAGAATGTGAGATACAACTCCTTGGCTTTTCTACATGTAAAACATCCTGGCTATGTGGGACAGAGGAATTGCAAAGGTCTTTTGAAAGAGATGCCTATGTTAATGATTGGACTTTAATTCTTTTCAAAGTTTCACTTTCTGCTACTTTTACATGTGATAGCATGTTCTCTCCAGGTGTCCCTTTCTGCTTAATTCAGTATTAATAAATAGATTACTGATAATGAAATGAGGACCATCACCATGGTAATTCTAGTAAAAGGTTATTTCTGTCTCATTTCACACATATGTGATAAAAATTTAATCATGCATGTACCAAAAAGCTACAAGTTGCCAGTAAAACATATGCACAGATGAGAACACCTCTTTGCCTTCAGATCAAGGACAGAGAACCACATTGCCCACTCTCACCTTCCTCACCTCCACTGTAAAAGATGGCAATGAATCAGTCAGTAAATCCAAGTGTTACACAGCTGCTGGGTGCTCACAAATTTGTCCAACAAACACAATCTGCTTTCTCAGTTTATCACGTTAAGCCCATACAGGGTTAATTTTTAATTCATACTTAGAGGTACTTCCATATGGTAAAATGTTTGAGCAGTTGCTTACATTTTTAATTGAGTGGGGCTCTCTTGGATGCAGGCCCGATTCATCGTAGTTAATTTGCATTTGGAAGTAGATCATCTATTTTAAAGGAAAGTTTTCAAAAGCAACTTCACAATTATAGATTGTTTCGTGATAAAAGCGAGTGACTCAATAGGGGAAAAGCATGCAGTCAGCACATAGAAATGAAGACACAGCCACACGCAGAAGGAAAACATGAAGAGTTCTTGAACTCAGGTCATCATGCAGTGTATCCTAACTGAAAGATACAGACTTGAGATCTATATTGTGGTCAGTAGTAATTTACAGCACTGTAGTATGCATTAGAGGGATTTATGAAGCAAAGGAATTTTCTGAAGTAGTGCTTTTAGAGCAGTGAAACATCTATGCCAAATCTTTTTTGCTGACTACTCAGAAATCAATTAAATATTTATTATGATCATCACAATTTACATTTATTACAAGGTAGATCTAATAAAACGCTACTTTGTCACAGAAGCCCCAGCTGAGCGATGATATTTTGTCTCCTCCAAAAGTATTATGCATTCCTTTAAAGGCAAATTTTATTAAACAGCAAAAACCAATTTGAATAATACCTGTGATATCTGTCATCACATGCTTAAGTGCTTTGTCAGCTATACCAGTTTGCTTCATTGAAAAAGAATCCACAAAATATATTTCTTACATTTTGGTTAACTGAGGTAAAAAAGCATTAATTGTGCCATGTTGGGAGCTGCAATTTTACTTTTTTTAAACTCCTAGCTCTTCAAGTCAAAAGTAATACCTGTAAAATTCAGACTTGAAACCTGTACTAGAGCCAGACTAATTGGTAACAGGCTTTAGAATTAGCTAAATCTATATTAAATTACCTGATACATTTAAACAGAGGCCCATCTGGAGTTGAATCTGTGGAGGGATGTGAAGTACAAGACAATGAGCTTCAACAGGTCCATCAGAAGCAAAAAGAGATCTAGGGAAAATGTGGGGCTGTTGATGAAAAGAACAGGGGACCTGGTGACACAAGACACAGAAAACTCCAAGCTATTCAATGCCTCCTTCATCTCAATCTTGCCTGGTACAACTGGCCTTCAGGAATCCCAGCTATAGCTGACAGAGGGCAGTAAATAAATGCGTGCCACTCTTCTCCGTGGTATCCAGTGGTAGGACAAGAGGCACATTAAAAATCATGAGAAACTGGCCAAACATAAGGGAAGACTTTTTTATGCAAAGCTGGTTGAGCACTGGAATAGGTCACATAGAGAGGTTGTGGACATGCCATCAGGGAGCTTCAAAACCCAATGGGATGTGGTCCTGGGCTCCCCGCTCTGTGTGCCCATGCCAAACTCCAGAGATCCAACCCAGCTTCACCTGTGCAATGATAAAATTAGCCAAAGAAAGCCAACTATCTCAGTTACAAAGACAAAAGGTGGAAACGTCTCTTACTGAAATTAATGGCTGGATTTTTACAAGTAGTGCATTACCAGTGCAGTTCTGCTTATTTCAAACAAATGGATAATACAAACTCACTTCTACTTTACTGTTATACTCTGGGATTGTGGAGTATCTCCAAATTTGGCAAAGACTGCTATTTTGTGTTGACAAGATTTGATGATCATTTGTCATTTTCTGAACGGTAACTACAGATGGCAGGTAGAATGACATTACTTACATAGCGACTGGCAGTCTTTTTAAAATACATTGAAAAGTCTGTTTCTATTAATTATTTATTCCCAAAATTGATTAAAAAACATATTAGGAAAGAAGAAAATGACAGATTAAATTTACAGGAGCACAAGGACAGACTGCACAAGTTCACAGAAAATACTCAGGTCAAGATGTCACTGAGCTTCCCAGCAGCAAGAGGCTAAAAAGTATCCTGTATACTTACCCTGGTTTTAGTCTTTGAGAAACAGTCTTATTCGGTCTTTATTCCTCTTAAGGAGAAGCAGAAGCCTGCTTACCGAGACTGCAATATCCTTCCTAGGAAAGATGGGAGGAAAGAAAGTGGTAGGAAACAGTTACAAAAGGTAAGAAACAGAAAAGGTGAGAGGAAAAATAAAAAAGGCAGAAATTAAAAAACAAAACGACGAGGAATTGGAAGAGATCCTGGATTCCTCCTGTCAGCATTAATTGCTCTCTTCAAGTATGCATGAGCAGTGAGCTGCTCCAGGACCACGCAATCTGAAACCCAAACTGTATAACCCTTGTCAAATGTCAAACACAGTAATGACAGTTCTTGCAGCTTGTGATAGTAAGAGGTGTTAGATAGGACATAAGAAATGATCTTGTTATTATTTTGTTATGAGAGTGCTGAGATACTGGAACGAGTTGCCCAAAGAGATTGTGAATGTCTCATCATCAGAAATGTTCAAAGTAGGTTTGGACAGGACTTTGAACGGCCTGAGTGTCCTGCTCATGGCGAGGGGTTTGGATGATCTTGAAGAGTTTCTTCCAACATAAACCATTCCATGATTCTACAGTACTACTGCAACAAGATGTCCTCATGCAATTATATTAACGTGATTACAAAGGTTGCAAATAATATGTATGACATCAACGTATTACTAGAACAAATTAAGGAGCTCTACAAAAATTCTAAGCACCGCAGATATTATGTAAGATATAAGATACTGAAACAAAGCTTTTAAAATCAATGACATTCAAATAGATGTAAAATAGTGTTTTTTTCCTTCATGTGAAGATTACAGCTTAGCTACAAACAACAAGCAGAGCATCACCTGAATAAAATATTGCTTTCAACTTAAATAGATTTTGTAAGTACTAATCTCTGATATAAGCACCTGCTTAATGTAGTTGTAGGTTTTAACATAATGAATAAAGAAAAAAGAAAAAAAGCAAGATATTCATAACTTTTATTCTTGAAAACACAAAAATAGCTAAAAATCCCACTTAGAATTCAAAAGTGAAGGAAAATAGACCAAGAAGGAATAATAAGAAGGCAGAAGTTGACAGCACAGATGTCTACTAAACAGTTCAAGAGCCACCTTGAAGTGGCATGATCTTGCTCATCTTCCTTGTGGAAAAAAACAACAGGTACCCAGACTGCTCAGTAAGAAAACAAGGCATTTGCACTGAAAGACTGGAGTAGCCAAGGCATCTTCCTACAAAGAGCTGCTGTCTGATGCACTCTACAGAGAGAGCAGCCATGGCCACAGATCCCTATGAGAGAGAAAACACTCCCCCTCTTAATTTCTTGCAGTACCGTTGCCTGAGCCATATTTTTTAATGTAAATGAATGTCTTCATTTTAGTCAGTAACAAACATTTGAAACCAACAGTTTCATGGCATGTAATTTTCATTTCCACGTACTTATCCATTTATTTCCCAGACCAAGCAAAGCACAAAGATGCAAAGTTGTTGTGTAAGACACACACAGGTGCACGCACACACACACACACACACACACACACAATTCCATGGAAAGAAATTCCATGGGACTTGTTGAAACAAGGCCTCCAAAACCATGTGCTTTCTACTTAGAAATCAGGATTTGGAACCATACACTTTCAACCAGAAGTATTACTAGTAATCATTTTGGGTAGAACCAGGGATTTTTTTATTTTTTAAAGCTCCAAGTGTAATTTCATTTATATCAAAGATCTCACCTACGTGGGCCCATTTTTCTTACCCCATGCCATCCTTCCTTTGCACTGGCACAAGGGTTGATCAAAGTGGAGCAACTGATCTGTCACCAGCAACCTGACAGTCTTAGTACTGACTTCTTTTTTCTAATAGCTTCCTTTAGGTTTCATCAGCTTTCAGTGTAAATTCAGTTCTGGCTTAAATAAATGCAAAGGGCTTTAGGTATCCTTTTTGGCTGTGTGTAAACCCAAACTAGACATTTTGGAGTTTTGAACTTGAACTTGACATTTTGAACCCCTCCTTTGCTTCAGTCTTTACTGCTAGGATTGGAAACCCGGACCCTGGAGGTAAGAGAATCTGGAAAGGAAGATTGTCCCTGGGTCAAGGAAGATCTGGTGAGAAATTGACTAGACAAATCAATGGGATGCACCCACATGTGCTGAGGGAGCTGGTGAAAGTGACTGCCAAATTGCTATCATCTATGTTAAGGGCACAGAGAATGAAGGAGGTGCCTGAAGACTGGAGGATAACCAATTCACTTCAGTCTTCAAAAAGGGCAAGAAGGAGGATCCAGGTAACTGCAGGCCAGTCAGCCTCACCTCCATCCCTGGAAAGGTGATGGAACAACTTCTTCTGAATGCCATCTCCAAGCAATTAAAAGAGAAGAGGGTTATCAGGAGTAGTCAGTGTGAGTTCACCAAGGGGAAACCATGCTTGATCAACCTGGTAACTTTCTAAGATGGCGTGACTGTCTGAGTAAATGCAGGGAGATCAGTGGGTGTCACATACCTTAACTTCAGCAAGGCTTTTGACATCGTCTCCCATAACATCCTCATAGGTAGGCTTCGGAAGTGTGGACTGAGAACTGGCAGAGCTCAGAGGGTTGTGATCAGCAGCTTAGAGCCTGGTTGGAGGCCTGTAACTAGTGGTGTTCCCCAGGGGTTGGTGCTGGATCTGATCTTCTTGAACATCTTCATCAACAATCTGGATGGAGGGGTAGAATCCACTCTCAGCAAGTTTGCTGATGATACAAAGTCAGCTGACTAACACAGCAGATGGCTGTGCTGCCTGCCATTCAATAAGACCTGGACATGCTGGAGAAGAACCTGACGAGGTTCTACAAGGGCAAGTGTAGCATCCTACCTGCTACCTGGGAAGGAATAACACTTGCACCAGTACAGGTTAGGGGACAACCTGCTGGAGAGGAGCTCTGAGGAACAGTACCTGGGTGTTCTGGTGGCCAACAGGTTGGCCATGAGCCATCAGTGTGCCCTAGTAGTCAAGAATGCAATGGTAACCTGGGGTGCATTACAAAGAGCATGGCCAGCAAGGCAAGAGAGGTGATCCTCCCCCTCTACTGTGCCCTGATGAGACCACTTATGGAATGCTGTGTTCAGTTCTGAATTGGGGAGCCCAAGAAAGACAGAGAACTTCTATGAGAGCCCAGCAGAGGGCCACAAAGATGGTGAGGGGCCTGGGGCATCTCCTGTGCAAGGACGGGCTGAAAGACTTGGGGCTCTTCAGACTGGAGAAGACTATGAAGGAGGTCTTACCAATGCTAAATATGTTAAGGGTGAGAGGTAAGTGGATAGGGCCAGGTTCCACTCAGTGGTGCCCAACAACAGGACAAGGGCAACGGGCACAGACTGGAACACAGAAATTTCCATACTAACATGAGGAAGAACTTCCCTGTCAAAGTGATGGAGCACTGGAACAGAATGCCCAAAGAGGTGGTGGTCTCCTTCTCTAGACATATTCAAGATCTGTCTGGACACATTCCTGTGTAACTTGCTGTAGGGAACATGCTTTATCCAGGGGCCAGGCTGGGGGACCTACAGAAGTCCCTTCCAACCCCTCGCAATTCTGTGATTCTCTGTGATTTTCTCTCTTAAAGTAAGCTTCCAGTTCCTCTTTTTTTTTTTTTTTTTTTTAATACCTTTAATGTCATTATCCCTAACCTGATGCTGACATTAGTACTGAGAAGTAATAGCAACATTAAATCAAAAATACTGCTCTGAGGGCATGGGAAGAAAAACAGAATCTGAAACAACTCCGTAGGAAAAAAAAACACAATAGTTTTCTAGTTAGCTTGCATTCAGAGGAAACAGCAATCACTGTTCAGACAAGATGCTCTACACCCTCTTTGACTTTAGGGGCCTTGGGAAATGTTAATATTAAATAATTAAATTTGAATCCCATAGTTCTGAATGAGAGTGTACCAAAGCCAACAAAACAACAGTTTTGGGAAATCTGAAGGCAGTGGAATAGTTGCTCCTGAGTTGCTCTTCAGTTGTGATGTCCTTCTGCATATGTCACTGCAGCTGTGCTGCTGTCTGACAACCTGGTGAAAAAGGATTTCATAAAAGCCAAACTAGAAGTACTATTTAAAATTTTCTTCTTAAGTGCATAAAGCTTTAATTAGCACTGCTTGGCTGGAAAGCTTATAAATATTTGAACAGTAGTAAGAAGTAGTTTACTTTTACATATAGCTTAGCATAAATTGGGGTCACGTCATCATCAAAATAGCAGCATCTTCTCCAAGATCATTTTCAGAGGATCATGTTTCCTGCTCAGTGCTGGGAATAACTCATTTTTGTGAGAGCCACTGAATCTTTATAATGTACTTTCAACCTTTTAAAACATTGCTTATATCCAGAGCTCCATTTTTGTCAGAACAGACTGTTCCACGTGACTTTGAGGCGCATGGCAGAGTTATGTTTTAATCTGTGGTTCCAAAGATAATTAGCAGAGTTCCACTAAATATTAAATATGATTCCCCACAAAGGTTTTAAACCTGAATGTTGAGCAAGTGTATAACTTGAGAGTTTTGACTATTTCATCTCAGACATTTGTACGCTACAGCTATGAATATAAATGGTACCAGGGTCAAAATGTTTTCCTGTGGAAGAAAAGAAATATCTATAATTAAACAAACAAAAACTTATCCCAATGAACTCGTTCTAATTTGCTCAAGTTTCTTACATACCAGACATCATTTGGAAGAATTTTGGGCTGAGTAAAACTCCTCTGTGACTGTAAACGCGCTACCTACACAGGTGGTAGGGATTCCTTTACCAACACTGTGCTATTCCCAGCTGTTCTCTTCTCTCAAGTCATACAAGGTTCATTTCCCATTACAACTCTTTGTCATGTAGCATACCTTTAACTTCAGAGCCTGCCAACATTACCGTTGTGAAGTCCTCTCCACTGGGGATCACATTACGAAACCAGGCGCTCCATTTTCTACTTGTTTCATTCATAATGACTAGTGGATGGGATCCTCAGCCTTCTATGCCTGTTAGTAGCTTCCTGGATGTTTCTCACTGACTGTTTTATTCAAGCTAATATTTAGTCCAACATCAGCAAAAGTATTTTCATTATACTACACCTGATTTCAACTGCAGAAAGACCTCCCGATGCCAGAGATGTACTTCTATAAGCATCCTTATTTGGTGCAAGACAGAGTAAATATAATCCCAACTTAACAGAATTCCCTGTCACTCATGAGGGCATTTGATTTGACCTTACTGTGTTCCTGTTATGCCTCAATATTGCTCTTAAGAACACTTTATTATTATTACTGTTTACTTGAAATCCCACAGCAACAACACATTGTGCAGATGGGGTTATCTGTTCAAGCTAAGAACCAAACACAACCTCAGATTTGTTACGCATCTGTAAAGCATACACATGAAGTTTCACATGGAGAGATCACATCATACATAGGACCACTTGCAACTTTGTTTGAGGTGAAACATCTGTTTTTCTGAATATTCCTCACACAAAAAAAAAAAAGTTTATGCAAACCCAGAATGTTCCAGTAAGATTTCACTGAGATTTTATGTCATCTGTCTAAAGAAACTACTATAAAAATACGTTCTCTACAGACATCAGTGTAATTGCATATCACAGATACCTTCCCCTGCTGCCTTCTGTAATGTCCTCACATACCAACATTGCAGGGAAAGTCAAGGACAGCAATTATAAACCTACTCCAGACGCTCAGTTCGATAAGAATTTCTCTGAGGATCGTTGTTCAAATTAAAAAGCAGCAGCCAGGAATTGCGAGCAACTGGACCCTTCAAAATGGTAGGAAAACATCCTACTCCAAGGAGAGATTCACATCTCTCGCATGAAACTGGCTGAATTTAGAATAAGAGTGGTACTGGAGCACAAAGAGAAGCCATGTACCTGTTTTTGGCAGCCAGTGCTTTGTTTCTGACTCCAGTAGCTCCATGCGTCGTAGCCAAGCTTTCCGCACGTTCTCCATTATTTTCCTTGTTGGTTTGAAGGGCGCGTTCTCCTATTGGAAAACCACAAAGGATTGGTATGCATGACATGCTGCAACTTTCTGCCACCCTTCTGGGTCTTCCTCAGTGCTGCAGAGTCTTGTAGAGGGCAGGTGTTCTCATGTGGACTTAACAACGTATTCCTCATCGTTACAACTGGGTGAAGAGCCCTGGGAGCAGCATGCTGAGTGTTCAGTACAACACTCTTTTAACATTTACTTGGCTATAATTTCTGGTGCTGTCACATGCACATTTCCACTCATACTGCATCCATACCAGTGTTAACACTTCAGTTATAAATGTCTAAACCATGAAGAATTATTGATTTAATGCCAGTATATTGGAAGCACACGGCTTACTATCTAGGCCTCTGTTCCAAAACCATCACTTCCTAGGTGATGCCATCTGGAAAGCAATGTATGATGCAGAGACCAAACCTGCAGACAGAACCCCTCCTTGGAGAAGATAAGAGAAGATACCACCAGCTGAACTCTTAAATTTGGCTCCCATTTTTAAAGCATGACTCTAAATCCCATTGGAATCTCACTTAGGATGGATCAATTCTGAATTTTTTTCCTGTTCGTTCAATTTCTGTCACTGTCACCATGGTGATAAGCTCTGTGGGAATTAACAGAATCATTTAAAATATGTTCAATAGTCACCCGATATCAATTTTAATGTTGCTATGCTTCAGGTATTAGTTCAGAATACTGTTAACATTGAGGTCCAATGTACTACTGTAAATACTATTAAACTGCATTGACCTATCTACTAATGGCATCAGAAGACATTTACTGCCCTTTAGCGTATAGTACTTCACTTTTTTTGGTCAAGTTCCAAAGTTTAGCACTGCATATGGGCAAGCCCCATAGCTTCCTATTTATTTATTTAAGAGGAGAATTAAACCACAGAGCCAGGGCATTATCCACGGCTATTAGCAACGCACTTCAGCTGAAAAGGCTTTAAGGATTTATTCAGCAGGATCAGCGGTAGTTCTACAGACTGCCTCTCCATTTTTTGTTCTTTGCATTATTGTGCACTGGTTTTATTTTTCCATCATACTATTTTGCTATTTGCATTCACTTCAGTAGGGGACTACATGCGGTGAATTTTAAGTATAGAATTATCCAAGGAATGTGTACATACCTTGCTATATTTGGCATGAAAAATAAGGAACAGAGTTTGCAAACAAGAAAATAAATAAGCTAGATATATCATAAACAATATGGGGAAAAAGCATTATTTAATCACAGGCAGTAAGACATCATTATCTTGGACTTAATGTTGCCAAGCAACATAACCAGTACAGAAAGCTACATAGCAAAACAGTTACTGTTAATGAATCATAAGTATGGAAATGTCCAAAGTAACATAGATTACATTGATAACATTATATTTCATACACAATCTCATTTGTACGAGCCAGATAAGTCATTATAAAAGTACAACATCTCATTGCCCTTTCTTCATTAATTTTTAACTTTGTTGAGCCGTTTATCACTGTCCAGTTACACGGCATAGAATATATAGTCCTAAAGACAGTGCATGAGAATGGATAGCAGAATGAATGTCAAGTGAGGGTAGAATTTTCAAAACACATTTTCTCTTAATTCTCATACTGTGGAAAATGTCTTACCTGAAAACCTCGTGTGCTGCTCCTTACCTCATAAGATGCTTCGGTTGTGGAATTTAAAGATCCACTAGGAATCTTGTTCTCTAGGACTAAGTCCTACTTTTCATTGCAGGTTCATCAGACAATTTGTCCTAAAGGCATAAAAATCTCCCTAGGAACTATCAGCAGAAAGACAAAATGAGTAAATTATACTAAGTCTCCTTAAAGCACTTGGCTGACAAGATCAATTTCATAGAACATCCCAGTATGTAGAGATTCTGTTCCAGGTATTTACCAGGTGAAGAGAGTCTAAACACACCAAAATGATGGTTGCCACACAATGCCAAAAAATAACTGTCCATGTCAAGCAAAGTAGATAAACTGTACAATGGAATTCATGCATTACTGTCTGATTCTGCCTTGTTGGAAGTATTTTCAGTTTGGGCATTGCTAAGAGCCCCCACTGCTAGCACCACCTTCATGACAAGTCAAAGATTCATCTGCTGCTGCTGCACTAAAGCAAGGCTATCTTTACCCAGTCTTTAGACTTCTAGTTTAAAACGAGGTCAGCAGAATCCAGTTTCAAGCCCAAATTAAAAGAAGATTTTCTTGAAAACAAAAGAATTTGCTGTACATGTACCATCACATGCACCTGTAAGCCCTATTTTTTAAAGAAGCTGAACTTCAGCACATGCATATTATGTGTCTGCAGCTTCGTAAGTTTGAGACTGAAATACAACTTAATCTAAATAAAAACCACAGCATCTATTCCACTACTCCTTCTCACGAGATTCATAGTACCTACAGTAATTAGTTTCTAATAATAACTAATTATTTTGTTTTCTCTCCATTTCCTCCATCTTCCACACTTGGTGGGCTGTGGTTGGACATGACCCTTTGTTGCACCACCTCCTCCACCTCCTGCTTTTTACATACAGGTTGTATTCAAGGTTAATCTTGACCTTTGGGGTCTTCCAATTGGAACTGAAAGAAGTTACCATTACTTTGAAGATACAAATTGCGTAACTCTGAAGATCTTTGTTGCTTCGTACTCATCCCGAGGGCTTTTATTCCTGAGCATTTTTCCTCAGCTGATTCATTGGCCATGAAGCACTGCAGCGAGACAGGAAAAAAAACAAACCAACATTAAATGTCCAGTGAAAGATTTCTGCTGACTTCAGTAAACATTAGATCAAGCAAATAACCATCCATCAAACAATGTTGATTAATGAGTTCCAGTGAGAATAGATTTCATTAGTGAAGCTAACAGAAAGAAAATATCCATTCTCGTTTCTCTTTTATAGGATGGAACACAGAGTTACAGCACCTGGGCAGTGACCTTTTCAGCTGGTTTCCAGCATATAGCCTCAACGAAAAGAACTATTATACTAACATCTTACATAGGAACCACAGCAGAGGTCAAATAATTAACAGTCCAGGGAGCACGGGGTGCTTTTAACAAACCTGAAACTAAACACAAGTCTTCTGCAACCCAGCTGAATGCCTAAGAGAACAATTAGCCAGCCCACCACAGAAAGAGCCCTCTCTCTTGATGGATATCAGCTGTCTGCTTCCCTAACCTCTCCAGCACACAGCTTTGTGTAATGCAGGTCGTGCTCTGGGCTGAACAAACATCCAGATTTCTTTAGCTTAGGTTCACTTTCAATCAGACAACACCAGCTTTCTTGTTCTCTTACTTCTGTGCTCAGGAGGAACAGCCATCCCTCTCCACTGGCATTACCTAAATTGTTTGTTTGGACTAATCCAAATCCATGCATGGAAACCATTTGTGTTAATAACTGCACTTTTTCACCTGCTGATTTTTTTTTTTT